AAAAAAAAAAAAAAAAGTCTTTCAGGCTGGGCTCAGTGGCTCAGCCTATCATCTCAGCACTTTGGGAGGTCGAGGCGAGTGGATTGCCTGAGCCCGCGGCTTCGAGACCAGCCTGGGCAACTTGGCAAGATCTCATCTCTACAATAAATCAAAAATTAGTTGGGCATAGTAGTGCACGTCTGTAGTTCCAGCTACTTGGAAGGTTGAGGCAGAAGGATCGCTGGAGCCCAGCAGGTCAACGCTGGGATGGCCGTGAGTGTGCCACTGCACTCCAGCCTGGGTGACAGAGTGAGACCCTGACTCCAGAAAAAACATCTTTTGGAACCAACATAGCCATGGTCTCCCAGAAGTTCTTTATTTGTGTGTAGGGGTGTGCATGTTGGGGCAGGAGGAATAGAGGTTACACAGAGTCTATGATTCATCCAGGGAAATCTTGAAACCTGGACAGCTCCATGCTCCACTCTTCTGACTTCTGCTCTCCTAATCTGGCTGTTACAAAAGGGACTTTTTTTTTGAGTTGGCGTCTCACTCTGTCGCCCAGGCTGGATTGCAGTGGCACACTCATGGCCACCCCAAAGTCGACCTGGTGGGCTCCAGCAAGCCTTCCGCTGCAGCCTTCCGAGTAGCTGGAACTACAGACGTGTGCTACCATGCCCGGCTATTTTTTGACTTATTGTAGAGACAAGGTCTCTACACCTCAAGATCAAGAGGAGGGTAGGCCGGGTTCGGTGGCTCAGCCTGTCATCCCAGCACTCTGGAGGCCAAGGCGAGTGGATTGCCTGAGCCCGCGGGTCTGAGACCCACCTGGGCAAATTGGCGAGATCTCATCTCTACAATAAACCAAAAATTAGGGGCTGGGTTCGGTGCCTCGGCCTGTCATCCTAGCACTTTGGGAGGCCGAGGCGAATGGATCGCCTGAGGCCGCGGGTTTGAGACCAGCCCGGGCAACTTGGTGAGACCTCATCTCTCCAATAAAATAAAAATTAGCCGGGCATTGTAGTGTGTGCCTGTATTTCCAGTTTCTTGGAAGACTGAGGTGGAAGGATCTCCTGAGCCCAGCAGGTCGAGGCTGCAGTGGCTGTGAGCGGGCCACTGTACTCCAGCCTGGGCGACAAAGAGTAGGACTCCAACTCGATCAATCAATCAATCAATAAAACAAGGATGGTCAGAGTATCTCCCTCATTGGATGGTTGTGAGAACTGAGAAAATAGAGGGAAGCAAATGGACCAGAGATTGGCATACACTGAGTGCTAATAGCAGCTGAGTTTTCAGCCTTTAGCTAAACTTCTCCAGGGCTGGGGAACTTAGCATCCTTCATACCTTTTTTTTTGCATCAGGGTCTCACTCTGTTGCCCAGGGTGGAGTGCAGCGCAGCCTCAGACTCCGGGATTCAAGTGATCCTTCTGCCTCAGCCACTCAAGTAGGCTGGGATTACAGGCAAGCAGCATCACATCTGGCTAATGTTTTTTTATTGTTTGTAGAGACAAGGTCTCACTATGTTGTCTAGGGAGGTCTTGAACTAAGTTCAAACAGTCCTCTCGCCTCAGTCACCCAAAGTGCTGGGGTTACAGGTGTGAGCCACCGCATCCAGCTTCAAACTTTTTGTATACATTCAATTGATGAATGTCATAGTATACAGCAGGCGATGATAACTATTTATTTAATGAACAAATAACAACACAGTCTTTCTATTTTGACTTTTGAGTTGGAGCCTCACTCTGTTGCCCAGGCTGGAGGGCAGTGGCACGCTCGCAGACACCACAGCCTCGACCTCCTGGGCTCAGGTGCTCCGTTCGCCTCAGCTTTCCAAGTAGTTGGAACTACAGGCACACCTGGCTAATTTTTTTATGGGTTGTAGAGATGAGGTCTCGCCAAGTTGCCCAGGCGGGTCTCGAACCCGTGGGCTCAGGTAATCCTCTCACCTCAGCCTGCCAAAGTGCTGGGATATAGGCATGAGCCACTGTACCTGGCCAACAAAGATCTTTAATTAATTAATTAAGTTTTGTTTGAGTTGGGGTTTCACTCACGCCCAGGCTGAGATGCAGTGGCATGATCACAGCTCACCACATCCTGGGTCTCCTGGGCTCAGAGGATCCTTCCGCCAAGTAGCTAGGACTACAGGAGTGTGCAACCATGCCCGGCTAATTTTTAAATTTTTTTTATAGAGACAAGGTCTCACTATGCTGCTGAGGCTGGTCTGGAACTACTGGGCTCAAGCAATCCTCCCACCTTAGCCACCCAAAATGTTGGGATTACAGGCATTAGCCACCACACCAGGCCCAAAAAAGATATTTTTAAGCAACAAAAGGGCCAGGCGCTATGGCTCATGCCTGTAATCCCAGCACTTTGGCAAGCAGAGGCGAGAAGATTGCTTGAACTCAGTGTTTCGAGACTAGCCTGGGCAACTTGGCGAGACCTCGTCTCTACAATAAATCAAAAACAGTCAGGTGTGGTGGCGCGTGCCCATAGTTCCAGGTACTTAGAAGGATGAGGCGCAAGGATCACCTGAGCCCAGCAGGTAGAGGCTAAGGTGCCACTGCACTCTAGCCTGGGCGAAAGAGTGAGACTCTGACTCAAAATAAATAAATAAATAAATAAATAAAAATCATAAATGCCACTAACTCCCTGCTCAAGGACCTCATCTATTCAGCTCAGGGGCACAGATACAAGAATAAAAATCTGAAAGTGTGTAAGCTTGGTGAGCTAGATATGACTGAGTCAGGTGGAGAGAAAAGCCTCAGCAGGTGTTCTGGAAGGGGACATTTCCAGGGCAGTCCCCCTGCTTCCCAGCATTCTGCTTCTGAGATTGGCTCTGGCCTCTGGAGGTTACTCGGTGACACTAAATAATCCTGCTGAAGCGTCCACCATCAGAAACACCGAGGTTTTGCTTCGGCTTTCAAAGGCTTCATGTCCAGCGGCAGCCAGGTCACAATGGCAGATCTAGAACCTTTCTATTTCATTCCTGGCTTCTTTCTCTGTTTAGCAGGAAGGAAATAAGTTTCAAAGAACTTTAGGCTAAGGGGTTATTAGGCTGAAATCAGTCTTTTCCTGCTCCCAAGTCTCCAAAGTTGGCTTTGGGAACCACTAACAAAATTACTACCCACACTCATGTGGGCCGGGTGTCCTAATCACTTGTCAACAATCACATCTTTTTTTTTTTTTTTTTGAGTTGGAGTCTCACTCTGTCGCCCAGACTGGAGTGCAGTGGCCGCTTCCGGCCACCGCAGCCTCGACCTGCTGGGCTCCGGCGACCCTTCCGCCTCAGCCTTCCTAGTAGCTGGAATTACAGGCATGCGCTACCACGCCTGGCTGATTTTTTGATTTATTGTAGAGATGAGGTCTCGCTGCCCAGGCGGGTCTCGAGCCCGCGGGCTCAGGCAATCCACTCACCTCAGCCTCCCAAAGGCGTGGGATTACAGGCTGAGCCACCGAGCCCGACTTATGTCTGCTTTCAATATATTTACTAATAACAGTCAAAATTCTTTAAATTGCATTGAAATACATAATCACACTTGCTTTTTATAACAATCTTCATTTATTCAAAAAACATGGATTGGGCTGGACGCAGTGGTTCAAGCCCATAATCCCAGCACTTTGGGAGGCTGAGGCAAGAGGATTGCTGAGCCTAGGGTTCGAGACCAGCCTGAGAAACTTGGTGAGACCTCAGCTCTACAATAAAAAAAAAAAATTGGCCAGGTGTGGTGGTGTGCACCTGTAGTTCCAGTTACTTGGAAGGCTGGGGCAAAAGGATCATCTGAGCCCAAAAGATTGAGGCTGAGGTAGCTGTGAGTGTGCCACTGTACTCCAGTCTGGGCGAGAGTGAGACTCCAACACAAAAAAACCCAAAGCATTATGGAGTGCCTACTATGTGCCAGGCACTGTTCTAAGTGTTGAGAATATAACAGTAAAAAAACAGATCTAAAAAATGCCTGCTGGGCTCGGTGGCTCAGCCTGTAATCCTGCGCCTTTGGGAGGCTGAGGTGAGTGGATTGCCTGAGCCCGCGGGTTCGAGATCCG